AAAAAATTTACCCAACAAAAAAGGTACAATATGAAATCAATATAAAATCAATATAATATAATATAATTCTCCAATTGAACTGATGATTTTTGAATTCTATTAAACAACTTTTATTTACTTTAATACTAATTAATTGTTTTTGTCAATTATTATCAATTATTAATAAAATTCTAATGGAATACAGATCAAATTCTCTATTTATTTGTTGTTGAGGTTATCTCTTGATGGACTATATTCGCCATTTTTTGTTCTAAAGAATATTAATTATTAATATTAATTTTCATTCTATATTTACATATATAGTAAAGAAAACAGTATTATAATAAAATGCTATATTCTACTTTATAAACCTCTATCCTAATTAACTTCGTATATAATTAGAAAACTTTTTTTGAAAATAGTATGTATGTATGTTGATCCTTTTTTCGAGTCAGCGCAACTGGGCTCTTTTACTTTTTGATAACTAAGGGTTCTACAGGGTCCCACCCATCTCATTGACTAATTTATGTATTCCCTATAAGCTTCGAGATTATTCAGTGATTGATCTAAGATCTGCGTAACTCCCCGTGATTACTCTAAGAATAGATAGTGCTAAGTAGGATAGCCTGTCAGTTTTCGCATATAAGTTCAGGGCCTTGTCCCTAATGTATTTTTTGATCGAGTTTATTCTTAGGTCTCTTAGCATATCCGTGTAGCTTTTGTATAGTAGAGTCGGCAGCTTTGCTATACGCAACACACCCATAAAGTAATGCTGGTCTAATTATCTAGTTATAGATCAGTTTGAAAATAGTGTGATATTTAATAATAATCAAATAGTATTTATGATACTATTATTATTATACTTTGATTATTAAAGATATAATCACTTGTTTATAATTATACGAGTAACTAATTGAATAATTTTATTTATATGACTACTACATTTATTAGGCTTTACAAAAAATCCTCGCATAAAGTCTCGTTCAATCAGGTGATAAGTTTAATTTGGCAACCATAAGTCAGATATATGTGACTAAGTCTATTGTCTGGTTTTATTCGTAAAGAATATAAATGATTCAAACAGTAATAAATTGTAAAAACAAATATTTAAGGTTTAATTAATAAAATTTTTTAACTGACCATATGTGCAGCTGTTTTCAGTATTGATAAAGAAAGTATTGACGATCCACGAAAGAGCTGTACGTTTAACCAAAAACTAATACCACGTTTACCACTGTTTGCTTAGTAAGTTACTTAAGTAACTCCAAAATGGTGTCGTTTCCATTAAAATAAATTACTTATTGCATGTGATAGAGCTTTTATGTATCAGAAAGTTCTTTCAAAATTCTAATAGAGCTTCTATTTTATAAATAAACTTTAGTGAATAATATATCACTTAAAAAGTAAATATATAATTGATATATTAAATCAATTATTTATCTATATATATGTATATATTATATATCCATCACATATTCAATTAATTCAAGTAAAGATTTCAAGTTTTTTTTTGAAATTTTTTACCGTTACAATCTCTTTTTTAAAAAATAGCCTCTTATAGTATGTTCCTATTGCCTTCCTTAAAACAGTTTATTTGATTTAAAACGTTAATGAAATTAGGTTAAATATGAAAAAAACTAAACAATCAAAACCTCTCCTACGACTTTTACAGAACTTTCTGATACATAAAAGCTTTTTCATGTGCATAAATCAACTTATGCCAATGGAAAACAACCAAATCTTGATTTAATTAACATAAATTGATTTAGCTGCAGTGGGAACATGGCATTAAATTATATTCAAGTTTAAAGCATAATTTCCAAATATAGATGATTTCCATCGCACTTAACATTTCGTTCACTGTGTTATTAATATTTTGACAAATTCAATACAATATATCTAAACTTAACACAATACATGGAGCAGTTGTATGTGTAGAGAAGTATGAGCTAAGGAGATATTTACACATGATATGTAAATCGACTATAACAAAATCCTTGAGATAAAATTAAACCTCCAAAAATACCGATTTGTTAATTGAAAAAAAATTATTATGCTTTCTTGATCATACATTTAATATAAGAAATATATTAAAATATATTAATGATAAATGTTTGTTATATTAAATAGTCTAACCTTATCAAATAGTGTTTCCGATTTGAAAATCTGTATTTAAACTAGATTTACACCTGATCTGTAGAATTTCGTTGCCCAGTCGAACATTTTTAAAGTAATCTACTCATTATTCTACTGATTATTTTTCATAATCAACTATATGGAATCGAATCACATTTTGTTTGCAAACTCATATAAAATAGCTGTTAATTTCAAGGTGACCTTGATACTCTGGCATAATATCTGAAGTGTTATAAATGAGTATCTAGTGTAACTTATTTCGATGAAAATTTTAGAGTGAATGACAGAGCCGAAGCTGGAGTTTACTCAAAAAAACTAAAGCTAACTCGCACTCTGCATATAGGAAAATATATTTTCGTCTATCAGGCGGTACTTATAGCGGTCTAACATGCTCTGGATCAGATATTGGATTATCAGGTATATTAGAAAAAGATTTTGATAGCGCTGGACAATCAAGCAGTTATCAAAAGCATGCAAAACACGTGCATAGTCAACAGCTTAGTACAAGAAAGTGTCATGAAGCTCATGGAATGTGCTCGTGGATATGAGGCAACAAACCCAACGTCCCGTTGCGTCAACGGCGCGCTATCCCAACGTCCAGCAATATATGCTTACGAGTTGAAAATGAAAGTTGTGCTGAAAGTGAATCTCGAAACGGCAAAACGGCATAACTAATAAGATACTTTCGTACAAAATTAACCGATAAATTATATATGAATTGAATTCTTAAAATTTATAAATTCAAAATTATAAATAATTAAAAATTATGGATCTATTTTATATCAGTTATTTATCTCCAAGTCATTTCATTATGCGATATCTGCTACTAAATGTCATGAACTAACGCTCACGTTCATTCAGAATAGTATACAAAAATAAAAAAAAAATTAAAACCAAATAAATATTATGTATTAAAAAATTTAAATGCGTGTGGACAGGTGTTTTTAAATGTTTAAAATTATAATAAAAAAATAAATTAGCTGTGACAAGTCAAGCAAATTATTTTAATGAATACTCGTATGACACATCAAATACCAAATATCGCTGAAGACAACAAAATATAGATATTAACTCAATTTAGCTGAAATTTACGACTTAACTAATAGGTGGGTTTAACTTAAATGTTATAATTAATTTTCAGTATTTTTTTTTGTGTCTTTTTCAATATATTATATTAATTTTTTTGTTTATGGTTAAAATCATTACTCAACTTTGCGAAACTGACCCTACTAACCATTTTGGCGCTTCAACTAATTCTTGTTTGCATAAATTATATATATATATATATATATATATGAATTGTATATATTGATTGTTTTTATAAATATATATGTACAGATGTATATATTTATTAACATTTATATATGAATACGTGCTTCAGCACTTTGAGTAAAATAAACACGGCAGTTGCGTATATTAAACAGTAAACAAAATATATTTATTTTTTTTATGAAGTCGGAAGAAATTTGGAAGTAAAAAGAAATAAATCGAAGATATTTAACATTTCTTAATGAAGTTAAAATTTCAAATAATGACAAATTTTAGTTATAAAATGTATAGATAGTTTAAATGACTTTTATTGTTAAATTAATTTGTGTTAATTTAAGTAAAAACCACTAACTTATAAGTAAAGTGTGACGCAATGTCTGGCTTGTCTACAACAAAGAAAAGACTTGTTGGCCTTAAAAAATATCAATTTGGTCATTAACGGGGAATCATCTCGAAGAGTACAGAAATCACTCTTATAATGTACGAAATCAAGGCAAAGTAAATAAAAGTGCAGTTAAATAATATCTTCACTTTTAGCGTAAAATGGTGACTCAACACTCTTCGAGGTGCTTCATAATTTTCAGGTTTTCCGTTTCGGTTTGGTAGAAAGTGCATCAATAACATTTTTCAACGAAAAGACTGTTAAAATATTTAATGTTCATTTAATGCACAAGCAGAAGCTTTTATTTTGCATTATTTTTGGCAGACCACAAACCACAGACCACGGACCACGCTTATTTCAGTTGAATTTAAAGTTCCGAAACTGACTGCTAAACCACAAATTGTCGTTGAATAATTTATGTAAAAATATAGCGAAATGATTTAATTTATGTAAAATCATAAAAATGAAATTCTTGAAAATTCTACCTAACAATATGAGTTAATATTTTATTCCTTAAACGTACGCTTGTGGCGAACTTGAAAAAATTATCGGAAGTTGAATACAAATTTATATTAAGAAAATATGTTCTACATACAAACATTGCAACTTCAGTCAAGTTATCACAAATACTCAAATGCACATATATATTCAAGTACTAATTTAATACTACAATGCTTATATTTATACTATATTGAATTATCTAACATATGTTACTAATATTTATATGAAATTTAAC